AAGAAGATCTCCAAAGGCGGCGTCGTGCTCGGCTTGCTCACCAAGAGGCTGGAGTCCCTGTCAGGAGACCCGGCGGCTCGCGCACTACTTACAACGCTGCTCCGAGACGCCAGCAAACCGTACATGGTCATGCTCAACGAGTGGCTTCATCATGGCGGCATCAACGACCCGCACGCCGAGTTCCTCATCAAGGAGCAAAAGAGCATCCGCAGAGAGCGCCTAGAACAGGACTACACGGACGAATACTGGGAGAGACGGTACACTATCAGAGAGCACGACATCCCGCCTCAACTGGAAGGTGTCAAGGACAAGGTCTTGTTGGCAGGAAAGTACCTCAATGTGGTCAGAGAATGCGGTGGTGTGGACGTCAGCAAGGTCGTTTCGGACGTGCCCAACTCGTTTGACGACAGCCGTTTCCTGGAAAACGTCAACAACGCATACGCCCACGCCAACGAATCCCTGATGCAGCTGTTGCTCACCACACACTCCCTACCCGCGCGGCTGCGGTCGCTCAAACACTACTTCTTCCTGGATCCGTCCGACTACTTCTCCTACTTCCTCGAGCTCGGCGCCTCGGAACTGCGGAAGCCCGTCAAGTCCGTTAACACCGGCAAGCTGCAGTCTCTGCTCGACCTGGTCCTGCGCCAGCCGGGCAGCATCGTGTCTCTAGACCCGTTCAAGGAAGACGTCAAGGTGGAGATGAACGAAATCACCCTCACAAAGTCTCTTCAGAGGGTCGTCAACATCACGGGTATCGAGCAGGGCGAGTCGCTCCAACCTCTGGCGAACCAGCCGGTCGAGAACGACAAGAACGCGATTGGCTTCACGTCGCTGCAGCTCGACTACACAGTGCCCTTCCCCGTCTCTTTGGTCATCAGCCGCAAGACTGTGTGGCGTTACCAGGCGCTGTTCCGCTACCTCCTCTCGCTCAGGTACCTCGAGTCCCAGCTGTCGACGACATGGCACTCGCAGACGACAGGCATGACGTGGTCTCACAAGAGCTCCTCGCGCAGCCTCGAGATTTGGAAGCGCCGGGTATGGACGCTTCGCGCGCGCATGCTTGTGTTTGTGCAGCAGCTGTTGTACTTTTGCACGGCCGAGGTCATTGAGCCCAACTGGGCCAAGTTCATGTCCAGGCTCAAGGTCAAGGAGGACGGCCAAGACGGTTCTGGTACCACCGAGGGACCGACGAGGACGGTTGACGAGCTGATGCAGGACCATGTGGATTTCTTGGACACATGCTTGAAGGAGTGCATGCTCACCAACAGCAAGCTACTAAGGGTAAGTCTTAGAGCGCTTCGCTCATCTTCGTGTATCACACGACTAACAACCTGCAGATCCACTCAAAGCTGATGCAAACCTGCACAATCTTCGCGACGTACTCCAACTGGCTCTCGCGTGAGCTGGAAAAGGCCGATCCAGACTTGTCTGGCGCCACGAAGCCGCCCAACATGACGCAGAAGCAGTGGCGCGCCTTTCAGGAGGTGCGCACGCAGAAGCCCTCGGGCTCGCACAGCGAGTCGACGTCGTCGGCGGGTGCCGGCGAGCAGCACGAGGCCCGCGTGAGCAACCTGTTTGAGATTATGAAGAAGTGGGAGGGCAACTTTAGCAGGCATCTGCAAATTCTCCTAGACGCACTGAATCACTACGCCGCCACGGAGACGGTTGTTCTGCTCAGTCTATGCGCGCGGCTTAGCACGGCCAACCAGGGGACCGAGTATGCGGGGTTGAGGAACGAGGAGGATAGCATGGCATGATTGTGCGTTGACGTTACATACCCTTCCATTCGAGGAAATCACACGAGACGGCGTTCTGGGGTTGGAGCAGACGGAGTCATCGTTCCAGGACGGCATAAAGAGCAGTCGAGGGGGGAGGGAGGGAAAGAGAGCGGCAGGGGCGGGTTTTGTCCACATGCCTCACCTAGACAGATACCATTGATTTGCTGATGCGCGCAGCGTCATGTTCAGGCCTCATCTCTTGTCGTTGAGTTTGCATTCAATGCATCATGTGAGGAGTTGTCTTGACAGGGTTTCATTTCTCTTAATGCTTGGGAGAGGGAGAGCCTCGGGTATGCTGAAATTATACACGTGGTGGTAGTACATGTTGCCGTCCGGCATCTATTTCTCCAGAGCCTCCTTGATCATCTCGGAGATGCGCTTCTTGTCAATCTCGACGTCCTTGCCCTGGACGGCGGCGTTGACCAGCTTCATGACCTCGCCCAGAGAGACCTTTCCAGCAGCAGTGGCCTGCTCAATGGCCTTCTCGACGTGCACGCGGACGTCGGCCTCGGTGACGGTGAGGACGCCCGAGTTGGCAATGTACTCGGCCATGACCTTTGCCTGGAGATCCTCCTTGTCGGCCAGATCATCGCGGCCGGCGGCACGGAACTGGGCGGCGGCGTCCTGGCCGGCGCGCTGGGTCTTGCGCAGGAGAGCGACGAGCTGGGCGTCGGTGACGATGGGAGACGACGTCTTGGCAGCGTTGTTGGTGGCGGACAGGACGGAGCGCAGGACAGAGAGGCGAGCGGCATCCTTGGCGCGCATGGCCGTCTTCAGATCGGCCTTGAGATTGGCCAGGAGCGGAGGCGTGGCCGGGGCAGCGTCCGAAATGAAGCGGAGCGTCCGGGGGAAGGCGCGGCCGGGCGCTGCCGTCGGCCGGAAAGTCTGGAGGAGACGTGTTGATTGTCGGGCGGCCATTATGATGTGCGTTGGTCGGAGGATGGAATGTGTCGATCAGATGATTTTCTGTCCAATTGGTCGTTTCCAAGTGTCGTTGACCTCATCAACTACTTGAGTGTTGTGTATCCCTAATTCGTTGTCTGAAGCTGTCGACGGCTCGATTAAAAAAAAAATCGAGAGCTGTGAGATGCATAAATTTGGGCAAGCTTCCCATTGGCCGGAGCTCATGGCCTGTTCCAGATGTAAGGAGGTCGGCGGCGTTGGTGGCGCATTGCGGCTTCGGCGCCAGCCAGGGGTTGGCACCGGTGGGTGGTGGGTGGAGCTTCCCCAAGGGCATCTGTCTGCTGAGGTTTTGCAACTGAGTTGGTGCTCGGTGCCCAGTCCCTACACTATTGCCTATCAAGTGTCTGTCAGGGTCGTCCGTTCGTTGGTTCGTCGTATTGGGGGAACTGGATCCACTGATTAACACTCCCATTGACTGACATCTGTGACTTTGACAGTTTCCTCCTGCCCGTTCGTTGGCCCGAGCATGGACATGTTGAGACATGCATAAGGTTCGGATGACACAAAGTGTTCAACGACGCGTCCTTGCGAGCCCGACCGGAATGCTGCGATCCAGATGCGACGTTTCTGCAATTTCCAGAGCTTCCCAGCGTCGCCTGATGTGCAGGCTGTCAGGGAATCCGCTGCACCAGCAAGGGTCGGGGCACTCGCGAACGCCTCCGGATATCACATCCACCGGGGGCATCAGGCCCAAGGTTCCGGGGTGGCATACGGTCGTAATATAGATTCGGTTGGGATGGGGCCAATCTGCCTGGTGTGTAGCCTCAGCAGCATTGATGTTCGGGGCGACGGGCAAAGAAACTCTCAAAGTTGCAAGCTCGTCGCCATAGTGGCAGATTGGTCCGTTGGTTGATTCTATGGTCGATTCCAAAGCACCAGAGCAGCCGCCAATGCCGTCTGTTCGTCGTCGTCGGCTCGGATGGGTACGACACCAAGCGGACCTTGTTCAAAACGTCTGTGCCATGGTTTGGCCAGGCCAGGACGGCCAGGATGGAGCTCCCGAAGCTGGGGAACCTGCGCCGCTCAAGCTCACCGGCGTGGGAACCGGCAGGATATTGGCGTGGAATTGGCGAGGACGACGGCAGCGGCGCGGGTGCGGCAGCGAGACATGGCATGCCCTGGTTATTGCTCTTCAGATGAAAGTGGATTCCGGTGAATTGCTGCGTACCCTCAGATGGAACACGACTCGACTGCTCGGCCGCGGGGGCCAGTCAACGACATGGCACCCGGATGACGTGCCTGCCCTCTCAGTCAGATGATGGCCGAGGAATGTGTGTGTGCGTGCGTATGTGTGCGTGTTTACGTGTGTATGCTGTACATAGTATTCGTAGACGTGTCTGAGTATTCGCTCAATGTGACGTGAAGTGCTCCAGGCCTCCCTCACCGAGAGACGACCCGACGGTCTGGTAGCGAGTTAAATCTGCGCGTTCGCTATCCATTATCCATCCTCCCCTGAACTAGGCAAGAACCAACCGCAGGACGGCTCCTCGTCTGGGCGACAGCAGACACGCCGCCGTTCTGCCTCCTTCCAATCTAAACCCAACTGAGGTGAGGTGGACAAAACGAGCCCAAGTCCGTCCAGTCGGGTACCCAGACCGAGGAACCGCCTTCGCTTTTCTCCTGCCCTCCCTCCACCGCTTCCCTTAGCTTCCGTTGCTCTCCACTTCAGGTCTCGCACCGCACCGCACCGGTCTCCCGTATTTCGACTTCATGCCTTCTCTCCCTCCTTTGCGTCGTGTGCCGTAAAACTCGCCCTTACCTGCAAGGCATCAGTCGAAACCTGTCTTACACAACGGCCAACACACTAGACGATGCCAAAATAACTTTACCTGGTTACGCCTTCTCTTTAGCCGGCCTTGACAACAGTAAGAGCCGGAGGCGGAAATTCCCTCGATAATCCCAACGTTGCCTTTCCCATGCTGCCAACAGTCACAGAGGTCGAGAGCGAGAGCGCAATCCAGATCCAGGCCGTCATCGGCTTCGCACCTGCCACGTCGCCGACAACACATCAGCTCCACCTTGACTAACACGGCGGATGTATAGAGTCTGGGCAAGAGCCGAAGCCTTCGCCATCAAGTTTTCTTCTGGTTCTTTCACGAGGGAGCCAACTTTTGTTCACGTCGGAGCCATCAGGTGCGAATAAGTCGAAAGAAACTCAAGAGACTTGCGAGCTAGGCACGGGGTATTCGCTGCCATGACATCGTCATCATCAGAAGCCCAGAAAAGAATGCCCACCAAAACGACCGAAATCAACCCCTCTCAAGGCTCCCCTGGATCTGCAATAAACCGATTCGCCAAAAAATGATTCGCCTCAACGACGCTTGCGCCCTATACAGACATACCTGCGACGCGCCTGTCAGCTCCGGAAGTCTTGCAGCAAGAGAATCTGCAGGTCACACTTACATTGGAAAATACGCCTGTTGCGAGCAACGGATCATTTTCCTTCATGTTAGTCACAGCTCCAATCCTGGATAGTCTGCAAATCATGGAAAACTAACCCTGAACTCCGGATTGTCAGCCTCGCTTCTGGCCTGTGCGACCAGAACTTGGAACTCTTGGGACGTCATGCTGTATAGCAAAGCGGTCAGCTGCTTTTCCCGAACGCTTGCTTGTGGCGGCTGCTCGAAACTTACCCCCGGAACTCCGTCATTGGATAGTGTCCTAATGACGATAGAAATCTCCTTACGTTCTCTCTGTTTGCCAAGCCGATCTGATGTTGCCGTGGATCTTGCATCTCTGGTTAGCATCGATAATCTGCAACCTCGTGTCTGGCGATTCCGTACCGTTGGACCATCCGCAGGTCGGGAGCGGGATCATTTGCGTCTCCACCGAGTCGAAGCCTGCACTCTGCATCCAGCTCTGCATCTGCAAGGGAGCTCGGGGGTCTTTGTACGGTTGCATGCTGTCCAGGTATCGTCTCGACCACCTTCGAAGTGCGTGATCTGGCCATGTCAAGAGTCAGCAGCTGCGCCCAAAATGGGGAGGGGGAAAACGCACTCTGTGTCAGTGTACCGTTATCCGACTGCGCGTTGAAGTATATTTCCACCGTTTGGACCCAGCCGCCGGGCCGAAGCACGCGATGAATGTCGCGCAGATAATCCCTCCATCGATTCGAATGAATCCCTCCGGCCATCATCTGGCTGTGGACCAGGTCGAAGTGGTTGGATGGGAAGGTGAACCTGGCCAGATGGTTAGAGATGATCCGACTGGGGAAACAACAGGCGAGTGTCTAGGTTGCCTACCTTCCATTCAGATCATCGACTTGAAGGTTCAGATTTGGCGGCGTTTGCGCTTCGTCGGGCCAAATGTGCGGGCAAATGTCGATGCCCACCACCTATTTCGCTGGTCAACCGTCGTTTTCGGAGCAAAGAGTCAGATCCAAGAATCGCACGATTTCGATCTCAATGGCGAACGAGCTCTGGGATGCAGATGGCGGTGAAGACTTCAAAGGCGGGAGCAGACGGTTTGGCACCAACGCGGAAAAGGAGTCTCCGCTTAGGGGCATGATGGTAAAGCCAACGAAGACACTGAAGCTCTCCGTCCACCCGCCCCGAGCCATCTTACGCATCGCCAGACGTCTACCAGAGTCAAGTGAATGTGTGGCAAAGGCCTTTGCACGCGCGTGCATTACGTACCTCGCAGCTCGGGTGTTGCTGTGCAACTTCGATTGCCCAGTCTCCGGTACCGAACCCGCATTCGAGTATTCGACGGGGTCTCGTTATGGGCGGAAAGATGAGCGAGTTTTCAAAAACTATCGAGAAGAGATAGTGCATCATTTGCAAACGCTCGATTTCGTCCTATAGGTCGGGGGAAGAGGCTGAGCAACGCGGTCAGGGATTTCAGGGGCTCCATGGGCCATCTTTACCTCGTCTATGGGCGCGAAGTAGGCACCGTTGTCAACGGCATATCTTTGGAACTCTCTTCCCAAGTACGTGATAGTCTCGAGAAAAGTATTGTCCAACGGGACCGTTTGCGGATCGCTGGGAAGAGTTTAGCGGGCGCTTTCGCTGGAGGCGAAGAGGTGCAACCGTACTTGGCCATGATGGCAGACGGAAGATGGGGTCGACGGCCCTATGTCTTCGCTCTGTGAAGCTGCAGAAGGGTCTCCGTCTCGACGTGGAATCTTCAAAACGATCTCTCGGGATGAAGTCGAGATCGTGACCAGAGCGTGCTGTGGTCTAACCAAATGTTGGTTTAAGTTCAGAGACGGGACGGAAGACAAGGACCATACTTCAAGCACATCCTACTCGAGAACCCTGAAGGATCTTTGACAACCATATCGGAAGCACAGGGGCCTTCACGAAGGCGGCAGCCGTGTCTAATAGACATAAAATGGACAGCCCGCTGCGCTGGAGGTGGAGACCTGGGCCGGTCAGACTTCAGATTGGACTGGCATTTGTTCTACACCCCACGATGTTGCTGTCGATCCTGGGTTAGCACACACACTACCTACGACCAAAGAAGGCCTGTTTCGGCGGTCTTTGGTTCGTGGTGCAGACGAGGCACACTTCAGGTGACATGGATATGTCTTCTGGTGTTATTGCTGGCCCTGGACCCCCCCCTGTACGCACGAAAATTCGATAATGGAGCCGGCAGACAACCAAGACGTGCTAATCCTAGGCCCTCGAGTGGCATAGGGCGGGTGTGGCAGCGGGTCAAACCATCCTGGACACCGCTTTTACCAGCTGCCAGATCCATGGATTCCGTTAACCGCGGCGGCTTTCACAAGCTGTTCCGGCTTCCAGGTAGACGGTTGCTTTGTGGACGACCTGGTCATCGTCTAGCGGGACACGCCATCACATACCAACTTCTCACAGGGCGGCGGCAGGGCTGCAAAATGGCCACTCATGCTACCTACTGATTACCCGAGGCCTGCCCATCACCGGGTTGCAGTGGCCCAACTCGCCGTTTACGTTGGAAGTCGTATACAAGCGTCGGGGTCGGACTAATAAACCGATCCCCCTCATCCTGTATGCTGTATGTACGGTCGACGCATCCACACCCAGGACAGCGCCCAGTGGTGGACGCCGTTCCTGAGACCAACCGCAGACCCGGAGGACAGGGCCCAGCACACACACACACACACACCCTCTCGCTACAACCCTCCAGCGCCCAGGGAATGGGAAGCTCTTCAGCAAACCCGACGTGCCATCCCTTGTTTCCTGGCTATTCCCCTTCCGCCCCCTCCTCCCTCAACCACGGGTGGGAACGTTGCTCAAAGGAGGGGTTGCATGGCCGATCTGCACCTATTGCAAGCGGAGCTATAATCGAGTCCGAGGACTCTCATGTCCCAAGGATCCGGTCGTTGGCTTATGTCTAGACGGCGAAGGAGCGAAGGAAGATGGGAAGCCAACTTGGACCGGAGGGGCATCGAACAACACCCGATAGGACCGCGAGTCACACGAAAGGGGTGATCGTCCGCGCCGCGACGGCCTCTCGCGCCAGACGGTTGGTCCTCGTCGCAACGGCTTCCCGAGAACGTGGACTTGGGATCTTGCCCGTCAGCTTCGCGGTAGCTCGTCGGCCGTCCCTGTCGTGGCCGCGAGACGCGGTGAGGGGAAAGGTCCCGGAGCCATACGGGCAGGACGGACAACCACAGACTTGCAGAAATGGTCCCCCATTGCCTCGTACGACAAGCAGGCTGAGTGTCCTCTGAGTCGGTCGCTTGTCTTGTTTGGCATAAAGCAGGCTGGGACCATATGCGGCCGACAAACCTCAAGGGCGGAGTCAATGGTCTGATCCTCTCACACTTGCGCAGACAATCCTCTGCACTCAAGCTAGCGCAGTGAGACCCGTACCAGGGCTGTATCTCACAGCACAGCAGACGGGAGGGGGAGAGACGAACAACGCAGCCCAACGAAGCCATCGATCATCACTGTGCTGAGTACACAAATGCCTGTCGTCGTTGCAACTGGAGACCTGCACCACACCATCCCGAGGCTCTCTGTTGGGAGGGCTTCGGTCGGATGGCGGCACAATATGCACAAGACAGGCAAAGCTCTGCAAAATGTAGGTAAGGGCATGTATGTGTCTTTGGCCTGTGGGTTGCGTCGACGGTCGCTGCATTTTGACACGTTGGCGTATTCGGGTGCGTGCGTGCTGATGGCTTTAATTACCTCACACTCCCTGTGCTTTCTACGCGGTAGACGTGCTTCTGCTGACCTTATCCCATCCTGGCAAGAGTTGCTTATAAGGCCGGGGGGTATGGCTTTGGAGATGCCTAGGTGCAGCAAGGCCGCACCAACAACGCTTCGCGTGCGGAGTTGGTTTGATGAAGGTTGGAAGAAGAAATTGGGCGACCCAGTTCAGTCACGAACCCTCGGCGGGCCGCTCTGCAGGCTCAAAAACTAAGAGAGAGGAAATGCTGTAGCCACCAACCCGGAAGTACCTATCGACCAGGTTGTCGCTGGCTCGGGTGGTGGAGCTTCGGGAGAGAGCGCGCGATGACGCGAGCCACAAAACTCTCCTGGTTCCAGCTATTTGGGAACAGAGTAGCGACTGTCGACAACCCTTCCTTGTCGAAGAGACCGCGCCCTGGTGCTTGGGAACACCATGCCTATCCACGCCAGCCACGTACGCCCTGCACCCTGGCCTCTCCCCTTGCACCAACGGCCTCAAAATCTGCTGTACGGATACAGGTACGGGTAAAAAGACGAGAGACACCATGAGACGACGGCCGTTCGCCGTTGAGTTTGGCATCCAGCCATCCCACATGGAGGGCGCGCCACCCCAACCTGCAATCTTTTGACGTCAGAACAAGAGGCACGGAGCTGCTGGCCGTACATCGCGCCACACACACGCAGGTCCATGCCGGTCACGGTCTCACAACGCTGCACGCCAACCCTTCCTCGGGGACGACGGTATCGTCGCCAACGGGAGGGTACGGGTTGGCCGGATGCTCCCTTGAGGGTGGACAGTGAGCCAGCTGGGGTTGCTCACGGCAATCCCTAACACGAGCCGCAAAAGGAATCACTCACGAGCGGTGGCTGATGCATGATTGGACGCCTTCGAAAACGGCGACTGTCAATGTTGATGCAGGTGTATCATCAGATATGAATCGACCGGCCAGCCAGCCAGCCAGGGAGAAGGATCCGGAACAGGGGCCGCAATCAATCTACCTCAGTATTCACACCACAGAGAGTCACTTTCCCTGCCAGCTGCCGTACGGTTTCTGTCCTTCCAGCGATGACGGCGCAGGACAATCCTTCGTGCCAGGAAGCGAGGCAAGATGCTAGCTCGTCAGAGATGCTGCACGTCAGAGGGGAGCATTCGACCCAGTTCCTTACAGCGTGCTACTGTGTGTAATTCGCTTCCTACGGCTCTTTTCCCTCTTGACGGACCTTGAACGAGCCTCTGAGCTTTGCGACTTGTGGCCGTTTGTCATGTTGGCGTCTGCACGGTGCGGACCATGCGCCTGGCTATTATAGACAGTCTGTTTACCCGATATGAGAGAAATTGGGTCAGCTCCTCTCTCTTCCAACGGCTTTTCTTATCCCACGCAGAGAGGGGAAGGAGATGAGTTGGCGGTCGATGAGCAGTCACATTCAGCTCCGCCAACAGGGAACCCTAGTCGGAACGAACCCTGCTGGTTCCTCCCTCTTCATTTTCCTCTCAAACAGAACCGTCCCCTCGGGTTCCCCTACGACGGGAGGCTGGGGCACCATCTCTCTGCCTATCTCCCTTTTTCGATGCCATCCGTCCCCTGAAATGGCCCCCTCCTATCGCGACGGACGACAGTCGACCAAGACGGTGCAGATGGCAGCGTACAGCGGTATCCTGCAAAACCCACTACAATTCCAAAGATACCCGGCCAGCGCCCCCTTATTGTTGGAGGAGCTGCTGCGGAGTTGCCTGCCGCAGCATGCCCACCAATTGCCCTAACCCATTTCCCAGGACCGGGTTTTGGCGTTTCACCAGGCACGGAGAATACTTCTAGAAGGCCATGCACTTGCGAGATGGAGAGGGCGGCGCCGGTCCTACGAGCCGAAAGTCCCAAATGAAAGCGCACCCAGCAGGAGGATGAACAGCAATTATTACCTACACAGGCACACACGGCTTTACTGCGGTCATGGCCGCCCGGGTGGGCTTTTCCTCTTTTATCCCGTTTGCGATCTACCGACGATACGGAATTTGGTTGTAATACCGACGCCCACCCTCCTATAATATTGCTGATGCGTGCACAGATCGCAGACCGACAGATGCCAGTTCTCTTTTGGACGACCGCGGACGCGCCGCGTTGTTGTCAAATTGACAATACCCGTCCGTCGCCAGTTCCCAACGGGTCATGACGCTGTCTACCAAGCACGCGAAGGCCGGCATAGCGGCGGCCACCCGGGACCATTGGCTCAGCCGTCTTGTGCGACTTGAGCGGTCACGTCTTTCCCACCGAACTGATCCCGAAGATGACCCTGCTGGTTTTCATTTGCCAGTAGCTCCCGGTGTGGTGGTGACGACCTGTGGAAGGGGGCCTTTCTCATGCTGCGTCTATGGTACTTTGGAACTATGCATTACACGTACAATATCCGTAGTTTGGTTGTGGTCGGCGACCACCAAGCCCCCCTCTCCCCCTGGGGGTCCGGACGAGCAGGACCAACAAGGCTGCGGTGTTGGTAAATCCTTGCCCGATTGACGCAAAGGGGCGGAGGACTTTTCTCGAGCCGCCGAAAGAGGCTCTTTGCATGTACGCCTTTCCAACCCTTCTCAAAAAGAAGAAAATAACAAATAACCCATGTCTTCAATGCTCCTGTCTCTCTCGGTCTCTCCTCCGCCCAGAACCCCTTTTCTTTGATTTTTTTTCTTCTTCTGTCTCTCTCTCTTTCCACCCCTCGTCACAATTACCCCTCCGCGGGTCCTTGCCTTGTTTCTTTCCCGGGATTCTCTCTGAGTTGTCCTTCTTTCTTCTGACAAGCCTGTCTTCCGCATATCATGCAAATCGTGTGTCTCTTCCTCAGACGCCCATCGTCTCTCTCCCTCTCCCACCCCGTCAGCCGTCTGGGTCTCTGCCAAGTAGACAGGCCCGTATGACGATTCATACGAGGTTTTGATCCGCACCCAGCCAGAAGAACGCCGTCAATGCCTCTCTCCAAGGGGATGATGATTATGACATGATTCGTCCTGATGCGCGCGTGCAAGTCACTATTCTAGACAAGATCCGAAATGGTCCCAAACGAACTCCAGGCATCCCTATTCGTGCTCGGCGTGATGGTTGCCCAAAACAGAAGACGTGAAAAAGAAGTGAGAAATAATAACACCGCTCGCTCTCTCCACCCCTTGCATGCGCAGCGAGCGGAGCGCAAAACCCACCAACCGATACTCTAGCTCCAACTTAACTCCTCTTTGGACTCCGTATCGGCCCCTCTCCACCATCCCCCGTGGATGTTTTGCTCGATGCAAGCGTGGTGGATCACCAGCAGGTGAAAACTGGGTTCCTGGCTTTCACAGGCTCCAGCCTCTCCACAATAACCTTGCGTTGGTTGCCCTCCATCCCCTCCGCCGCAGCGTAACCCAAATCGCCGTCTTCAAGGTCGTGTTCATCGTATTCGTGACTCGGTCGCGCCCCGTACAGCTGCTGCGCGATGCTGCTGCTGTTGCGCCGTCCCGCCGCCGTCGCAAACGAGTACCGTCGCTGCTGTGACTGCTGCTGCTGGCGGGCGGGAGAATACATATTGAGCGCGCGGGATCCGTGATAGCTCTCGCGG